GCTTTGTATTTCTGGTCTTACTTTCGAGAAGTAACAGTCAAAATCAAGAATATTTTTGTTACACTTTGGCTTCTACAACATGTAAGTAAAAAATTGAGAGCAAAAGAATCCTAAACCACTATGGCATGGGAATGTACCACAAGTGGAAATTGAAAATCAGGACAACTAGTCAACCCAAAGAATTGTTTCCCAGTAACTTCCGTGCTCACCGTTTGGGCGTAATGTTATGGAAACTAATGGTAGCTCACAAGACTAGAACACCTGCAAGATTCTCAACTTGAGACAGCGGTTGAAAATTGGAAACCCAGCTGGATTTGGATTCTAGACCATACAAACTCGTGACTGATTGACTGATCGCGGAGACACAGTTTTTAAGGCATGGTATATAAATAATAATATGAGACCAGCGCACCTGCTGGTATGCCCGTTGTGCCTGGCGTGGCTGGAGTAAGTGAACTAGCGTTATCTATCCTGGAGCCGGTAACACGGACGTAGTTCAGCAGAAGGGTGATGGCGTCAGCCAACCATGACAAACGTATTGTGAGTACCCCGTCAAATGCCGACGGAGTTTTGCTCATCTGGAAACGGAAAGAGACCAAATTTCACCAATAAATGAACAAAAGTAAATGAGATAAATATTGAGAGTGGTCGCCCCGCCATCGCTTGAAATCGCATACTAACAGGAACTAATGGCGCACACCTAGAATCCTTAGAAAGCTACGTAATGACTACGTGTAAAAGGTTTCCGACAACACATTAACACGTATGATATAGTGATGAATAAAAGAAAAACACGTCTTATTTTTCGAAGTACAATAATTCCTACTAGAATGCATTAAGACAAACCCAATAGAATCACAACACCCTCAGTCACCATCGTACTTCTGCGAAAAAGAAAAACTAGCTGGGAAATCAATTTCTTCAAGTCCAATATGGGCCAAAAAACTTCTACGCGTACAAGTGACAATTTACCCGCCCTTTCCTCGAATTAGCCAACAGTTAAAGTGAAGAATGACACGAACCAAGTCGGAGCACGCAATGATTAACTCTTGTTGCATAACAGCGATATGAGGCTCCTCCTGAGGGCAACACGAGAACAATGTATCCACTAGCTCTCCTGGTGAAATTGGACGAGATATCACCACTTCGCGTACACTTCGAACTCCGAGCGTCACCTAAAACAGAGCGTTGTCCGCGTAGCTTTCCTGATAGGCACTTGTGTAGGCACAACAGTGTTGAAAGCATAGCGAGGCCAAAATATACAGGAATGGCCAAAAAAACTTTGATGACACCTCACACTCGAAACGGTACTGATCACACTTGATAAATTCAAACGGAATGGTCCCGACTGAGCCGGAAAGCAAGAGACTCGGATACCCTGAGAATCCCAAGTTTCCACCATTCCCAATCTTCTCCAACATCACAACAACCGACGTCTCACAACCCGGACGTGCGGTCGATAGTTAAGCCCACCGGCCGGGCAAAAGTTGGCCACATCTCTGCATCTTATGATAATTTCTATACAGCTCAAGCCTGCGGCGTAAAGAACGCAATTATCCCAACAAAAACAAGGTTGAACCGCAAAAAAAGCTTTCCCAAGTCTTTTCCGCACGCACCCGATTCATCACGTTAAAGGGTGAAGCTGACAAACTAATGGTAAACTTACCATCAAAGCTGACCATGAGCTGGGCTGAAAAGGTGCCCCGGTAGTGAAGTGCTAGCAAATTGCCCGGGAAGCAAGAGATTCGGATTCGAATTTTGGCTGGAGCGAAAGTGTTGCCTCATAACTCAGCATTGTTGCGATAGCTGATTGATTCGAATTGTATGATGAAGGGAACAAGAAAAATACGAATAGTCTTTCAGAACTTTCTACCCAGTCAAATATTTTCTCTGCAGAAAAGTCATGATTTGTCTATGAACGTAAAAAAAATTCTGAATTTCCGAAGCGGTAGAAAGTCTTACCAACTATTGTGTATTATCAAAGAACTAATGCACATCAAAACAAATGCATCGATGCAAGGCCAGTTTGGACATTGTGACAGCCAAGCGATCGCGCTACTTGCTCGCGATTGTAAGTTACATCCTGAACGTATCCTAAATTACCCATCATAAGGTTCAAGATCATCACGCAATAGACCTAACGAGCCAGCAGTCTTCGGCCCTGCGCCTCGGATCCATGTTGCCATATTCCCATCACCATGTTCGAGCTGGTCCAGCGATATATATGCTTAACAACGTTCCACGACAGCGGACGCGGTTAAAAACGCGTCCATTTCTTGCGCACAACTCCGTGGACATTGTGACAGCGAGTAACGCGACCCCCGCCCAAGTCTTCTCTTTTCTTAGCGCTGGGCTCTTTTCTAAGGTCTTGTACTCACTAATACATCAAACTTAGCATAAACCTTAAAACACATGCTCAACAGATAAGGCCCCGATATCTCCTTGGTTGACAAAGATATTTTCCATCAGACCCTTAGCGATGATTTTTTCACTCATCCTAGCCTCTTTCCAAATAGCATGACAACGCGCAAAAAGAGAACAACAGAAGGAATACAACCTACTTCGTACGGGATATTATTGTTTGAACAGAAACACCACGTCCGAACTAAATTGGCAACTCACTAAAGAAAATCCGTAAAATTCCTTTTCATCGCTACACCATCATTGGTCAAACTCCATTACTTGTAACTACTGAAAGCAGACGTCGAACATCATCGAAACACATTTCATCACGGTCTAGATATTGGCGATAACAACTAAATCCCATGGATGGTGTGCGGCGGCTGCGCTCGCAAAATCGCTATTGTCCCACGGGGTGCAAAAGCACAAAATGCGTGATGTCGTCAACGTGTAAGTCGATAAATAGAATCATCTACCATTGCAGTTAAAAAAAGCTCGCGAATAGGAAAAAGAAGTTTTAAAGAATGAGAATGTAGAAAAGTCAAGAGCTCGAAGAAAAACACGAATTAGCAGTCATATTTGTGTAAAAAGCAACCAGAGATCAGAAAAGGCAATCATGGGCCACATAAGAAGGAGGAATGGTTCAGTTTATCCTGACTTTCGCCATACTCCCGCTGAACCCGACAAAAAAAGGCTGATACCAAAAAATTTTATCACAGTATGTCGGAATGAAAACAATAATTACCTGGAGAAAAATATGAAACACAAACCTGTTTGCCTCTGACCAACATATTCGTAATACCGGGAGCCAGACTGTTCACTGCTTTTCGTAAGCGCCCAGCACAATATCGTACTAACCACCAAAGACGTAGTTGGCATACTCTACGGTAGAGCCGTTCCATACGCTCACGGATAGAACCTACAGAAAAGCCTCCAACATGTTCAAAAATGAAGTGAATAATCACTAATCATAGAAAACTTCTCATACAGCCATGAATGGGAGTTTCCGGATGGCGTCTCATCCACATGGCCGTCAATGTAAACGCCATCAATCTCGGACGATCTACATCATCTTTCCGAATGATTTCGCAGAGCTCTTCATCAGAAAGCTTTTGAACCTCTTTCTGTGAAAAAGCAATCAAAACTCTCATGGAATAAAATGTCAAGGAAGAAGAAGTGCAAACCTCATCAGTTGTTTCATCATCAACTACGTCAAGCAGGTTGTTGCGTGAAAGAATTTGATCTCTACCAGTTTCCTCAAGCACATCAATGTCAAATTCGACATCGTCAGATGAAGCAAAGTCAATGTGCTCAATACAACTTGTGTTTAGAAGTTGCTGAAAAGGGTTCCAAAGAAGCTAAATGAAGATTCCTCGAGCAACAACAACTTAAGCTTCGAACTTCTTGTAAAGTACTATAGGCTTGTTTGAAGTTTCCGCCGATATTTGACCCTCAAATTCAAAAGCGCATATCTCGGTTCAAACAAACATTTTTGATCGAAATAAAAACTGTTACGAATTCCTATATCTTTGCCCAAAAGAAGATTTTCAAAGTGATTCAGATGTTGGAAGTGCTGGAGTTCTGTAGGCGAAGAACTCGGCGAAGGTCGTTCCACCATCATGTTGGGTTTCAACGTTTGATCTCTTCGAAAAGACTATCCAGATGGCTGGAAAAGTGGCAGTTGGTAGGCAAGAGGTCTAGCGTGCAAAATGTTCGCAGCTTCGGCTGAAAGTAAATGGGGCTGCGCAACTGTGGGGAGAAGAGCCGGTGGCACCCACTTGTCGACTTATTTGGTCGTTCTTTGAACACCTGTGTATTCAATAGTTCCATGCAGATTTGGTTTGATCAAAACCCTCAGTTAATCTTTGTCAGTCTCCGATATCCGACCTCACTAATCTTCTTCGAAGCTTTTATCATCGCGAGAAAGACATTTTGAATCACGACTGCACAGCGAATTTTTTGTGGATTCGAAACCAAATGCTCAGTTGATATCATGACTTGCTTCAGCACATTTCCGACCAAATTTGAGAGGAAACAAGAAATTCCTCTATGATAGCCTGTTGAGTATGTTGTAATCAAGACTACAAAAAAGAGGCAGGTATTTCAGAGATAAAGTACAGTAAACTTATGCAGATCAAAAAACTTGATGTGTAAGTTGGTAGCAGTTTCTAGAAATGACTCAGAAGTGAAGCATTCAAAAGTGGGTTACCGAAAACTGCGAAAACTTTCTGAACAACCCAGTGTTTTGAGAAGGGTAAGGTGATGGATGGAAACAAGGCCGTAATTCGTATTGAAATTTGAGGTTATTTCAATAACAAGAGGTCACAGCCGGAAAAAAAGCCCAACTTCTAATGCTGTCAGGGCTTCAAAAGTGTGAAAATTGAGCTGGACGCTCTTATTCGCATTTATGACCTTTCCCATACCTTCCATAATTTTTGGAAATTCAATCCGCTAAGAATCAACCGGGTTGACACTACATAGACTCGTAAAAAGGTTCGTCAGAACGAGACAAGAATACTCACATGAACTCTGCCCACTCGAACTCGAATGCCGTTAACATAGCCGGTTTTCAGTTGCACGAGAAGATCCAGAATGTGATCGAAATACTCTCCCACAATGTTTTCCTCACGTAGGAGAAGGCACATAGTCGGCCGCCCAGTCAGTTTCCATCGCCTTGCAACAAATTCGATGTCTCGCTGGAAAAAAGCATCGCTGTCAAACAACTATTGAAAAT